CGTCGGCCCTACCACTTACAGATGATGAAGGGTTGTTTCAGGTATGACCTTCTTGTGTCCTATCACATCGTAACATTCAAAGGGGTGGCCATGATGCGGAACAAATTCTGGTTCGGTGGGAAAACCGTTCCGATGAGCTCGCCACCTGGGAAGATTTGAAATTCATCCAGAAGAAATTTCCTTCTTTTGATCCTTGGGGACAAGGATCGTCTTTTGGAGGGAGTAATGTTGTGAATCAAGGAGAAAAGGCTGAACTTTTGGATGTAAACGGGGTAGAGAGAAAGAGGATCGTCGACGAAACTGTCGAGATAGGGTTCATATTGTGTGAAGAAGGTAAAGAAGCAATTGACGATGAAGATAACACTACAAAATAAATGCTATATTCCAACGGAAAATCCTATGGTAATATATTCCAATGGAAATTCCAACGGATATTCCAATGGAATAGCTTATGTTGGAATAGTTCCAACAGAAATTCCAACGGAAATATTCCGTTGGAATGTGTTTTTCATTGGAATTTTAGATGGAATTTGATGATTCCAACGGCTATATTTCCAATGGTTTTTTACCGTAGGAATTTCCGTTGGAATATGCAAATTCCATTGAATTTTTTTTTTCCACCCCTGTTGGAAAATCCACCGTTGGAATCGTCAAAATCCAACAGAAATTCCAATGGAAAACCCATTCCAACGGAATATTTTTTTTGGAATTTCCGTTGGAATCCATTGAAAAATTCCAACAGAAATAATAGTATTGAAATATCCGTTGGAATAATTCTTTTGAAATATATTTCCGTTGGAATTTCATCATTTTCTTGTAGTGTAAGATGGAAACCGCTCAGTTGGGCTCAAAAGCTAATTGGTCCGAGGAGTTATTTATTTAATTAGTCACTTATGTTATTGCATTTACCTTACCAGATTATGTCTTATTTGGGCCTCTGTTTAGCCCAGTTAGTATTATTATGCCTTAGGGTTTTGATGGTCCATGTGAACCAATATTAAAATGAGAATAGTTCCTCACTAGATGACAAGTTAT